CAATGGTTAAGCTGTGCTGTTAAACTAAGTTGAAATGTTTTTTTTGTTGGGTTTTTTTTAATGCTAGACGAACTTCCAGGAGGAGTTGTCCATCCCACTAGAATTTAGTGATCCAGTTTCCCATAGAGCTGCCATGGTACAACTTGCTGTTTGCTTTCAATGTTTGTTAGAGATGTGCAATTGCTCTTACACAACAGGATCAGAGTACGCTTTCCTCTTACTCACTCGCAGGAGGTTGGGGTATACAGAGGTTTCTTGTTTCTTTAGTGCCTCCTCGGAAACCCTTTTGAAACTGAGGTTATACTTACCTTGACAAGACAATGTGGCTTGAACAAAAATGTGCTGTGGTTTGCATATTGAGAAATACCTGGGGATACAGTATTTAAATGCTTTAGAGGAAGCACTGACTACCCTGAGAACCAGATTGTAATGGCAGATACAGATTGATACAGGCCCTGCAAAGAAAAACAAAACACCATCAGCAAAACAGAGTCCATCTGTGGTAACGATGCTATCAAGTAATCGTTTAAGACCAAACCACCCCAGCTTGGGTTTTGGTATTGGTAGTGTTTGGTGCCTACCGCTTTTAATTTGCAAATCCTTAAAGTTACGTATTTTGATCCGAAATGAATTAAAGCATTTTAATCAGCATTTCTGTGGCAGATTCCATTACAGATAACCAAGAATGACAATACTCACCAAACTAACCAGCTCTTTTTAGGAATCCACTTACAATTGGCAGTAAATGAAGTACCAGTCTGCTGTTTTAACAGGTGAATTTGTGATTTGTTTTATTCCTTTTGTTTAATACATGGCTTTTAAAACTGTCCCTTTTAACCGAGAGCCCCTGCCCTGTGGCTGAGGGTGTTCACACCGGACCTGTGGGGCTCCTTCCCTCCTGCCACTGGACATGGATCCAGTCCCATCCTGTGGGGCGGAGGGACAGCAGCCCTGAGTCCTGGTGCAGGCTCACTTGGGAAGGGGTGGAGGAGACTTGAGTCTGATGGGGGGCTTTGGGAGCCAGGTTAAGATTGAGGCTGATCTCAAGTCCAGTGGGTTCTGTCACTTTCTGTGTGTGTTTCTGCCGTTGAGCATGCACAAATAAAGTGGTTTTTGTTCAGTAGCTGTTTGGACTGGAAACATTTGCTGCTTTTTTGTCCTACTTGAGAATTCCAGATACACAGGTTAAAATTCCTCAGCACATCCACAGCTGTCAAGTAATACATCTGTTTAAGTCCTGATAGGACCTGTCAGCTTCATTTAAGTATAGAGTCAACCAGGCTCATGTACATAATTCATAAACATGAATGAGAAATTAAAGGTACCTATTAAATGGAAGTTGTCTACTGCAGTTTTTCCCTTTAGCATCCCCGTAGTTCCAAGGACAAGCAAGTAAAGTGAAGTCATGTAAGCAGCATTCAGTGGCTTGTGTGAAACACTGCTGAGTACTTCTGCTTGTAACCCCCTCCTCTGGTAAGCAGTGAATAATCTCAGGGACGAGATCACCAGGTAAAGCCCTGCTAGAGGAATAGAGGGAGCTGTGCACAGGAGCGGGCCGGTGAGGGGCTCCTCGGCGTGCCTGGGTGCTGAGCTTCCCCCTGTCCGTGTTGCTGTCAGCTCACCCTGTGCCTTTCCTGTGGTGAGGAGGTTACTGGTTGGGATTCGAGTTTGTGAGAGGCTGTAAGAGGTTCACTGCTGCTTTGTCACTTTCCTGACTAAAATTGGCTTCCAAATACCTACCTAGAGGCTGTGTTACCAGATAACGCGGACTTTTTGGCTTAAACCCAGACAGACATTCCAGTGCCACACGAACAGAGCGTGCCCAGGGAGGCTTAGATGCATTCTGAAAAGCACAGCGGCGATGGGGGTGCAGGCGCAGGCTGGCGGTTGGTGTTTTCCAGCATCTTGCACTTTAGGAGATCTCAAACGAACCGTCCTGCTTTTGTGTGTGGTGTGACCAATGATGTGCCCGGGCACTAAGGAAAAAGAAAACCCTAGATGCTAGCGAGTTGTGCAGGGGCTGGGGAGCACTGTAGTGGTTTGGAAGCTTTGGCTATAGAGTCACAGAGCCCAGCGTGGCGTACCCCGCTTCTCCTGTCCGCCTCCTCCTGTTCTATGTGAACTGCCTGCTGAGACCACTCTTAAACAGCTTCGGGCTCGCGCGGAAGCTGTTTAAAAGGAAAAGCTTATACTTTGTTTTTGTAGACAGTGGTGGCTTGATAATCCTTTTAATGGTTTGATATTAAACACTGAGCTGAGTGAAGGAGAAACGCACTTGGGATGAGTTCTTTGCTGTACATACAGTCCAGTGTATTTGAAGTCGAAACCCAGAGTCTTTTAGCAAGAGTATGTGCATAAAGTGGTAGGGCTGAACGTGTCGGGAGTGGGGAGGGTCGAGTTGGATTTACAAGTCACAACTGGATTTAAACTGGCCTTTTTCTCTTTCCACTGTGTCCTGTAAGTAGCTGCTCTCTTGTCCTGCCTGTCCCCCGGGCTTCCCCAGCTCATTCTGCAGATGAGTTAGCAAATTGACGTTGTAGGAGTCCATCCTGACGCTGACACGAAGGCAAACGTTGGCTTTTCTCACGCGAACGATGTTAGAGGTTGCAATTGGAGCAAACAGTTCCCAGACCGTTGGAGTTAACTGAAGCTATTGCCACAATTGAAACAAAACAAATCAGTAAGGAATGTATATAATACTGCTCTGTGTTTTACAGTAAGATTTGTTGCTCTCAGACTGTGTAAAACAAAATTTATTCATGTTTTCTGCATATTAAAAAAATCTTATTGTACCAATTGGTAAACTATTAAATGCATATAAACCGAGATGTGGGTTTGTTTCCTTGGATGCCAGAATTAAAACTATTTTGAAAAAAGCTCCTGGTGTTTCACCCTTCAGATTTTGCTCCACTCTGGCTCCTTCTTTCATCTCCTTTCCATTTGCCTGTGTTCCGGGGAGCTGGTTGTAGGGCTGCTGGTTGTGGTTGGAGCATCAGTTTTGTTGGTTACTGTGCTGGAGGGAGATGTGAACGTGCTCGGTGTGGAGCTTTGGAGTGGGGTCTGCACTGTGAGCACCCACGGAGGGGGCTGCTCCATGCCCAGCGCCCCGTTTTCCTGTGTCTGGTTTGGTTTGGGGTTTTGCGGTGGTTGTTTTCCCCCTTCACTTGACCCTTCCCTCACAGCAGGCCCCATAGGAACCATCTGCCACTAACCCTAACCCGGTGCCACTGGTGCTGCCGTTGTGCTCTGTGGAGAGTGCTCGGGGTGAATTGGGCTGGGGGCAGTGGCCTCAGCTCTGCGGGACGTGGCTGCGGTCGGTGCTCGAGGTGCTCTGTGGTTGGTTGTGTCCTGCCTGCGGTGCGGCTGGTACCGGGGCTGAGACCGTCAGTGGGGCAGGGCTCCAGCTGCGGGAGCATCCCCAACCTGCTGCTCAGCAGGAGCAGAGCTGGGGTGGCCTCCGGAGGAGACCAACTCATTTGGTCACTGTGGCTGCGGTGGGAGCTGCAGGGTTGCGAGGGAGCCCCTGATGGGTTTACAAACGTGGTCAGCTTATGACAGAGGAGAGAAAAGGGGGGGACTTGACTGGTGCTCGGAGCAGCTGGTGACTGAGAGCTTTCTGTGTTCCCTGTCCTGCGGCTGGCTCCGGTTCTGATGCAGCACTGATGGACAGGGAAATGCTTTTCAGCAGCCAGGGCTGGGTGTGGGAAGGATGGATGTGTGTTGGAGTTCGGTTGAGCGGGGGTCTCCCACCAGTACAGGCACTAAATGCAGGGGAGGTTTAACTGGTGACATCCCCAACGCTGTAGCGCTCGAGGGATGCGGCAGGTCCCATGCCACTGAGTGTCTGGGAGAGGCAGGAGGACAAACACGGTGTTCCCATGTGCCTCCTGTGGGACTGCTGATGGGTTTAATCTGAGCGGGACGGGAGGAGGCTCCTCAGGAGCAGCTCTGGGGGGGTGCTGTGGTTGTGACTGGTGCTGGGTTTGTTCCTGATCTCTTGGAGTTGATTCCTTTGTCCACAGGAGCCTTGTGTTAGAGGGGGCACAGAGCAGGGGCTGTGGTACCCATGGGATCAGAACAGCCCAGAGCGCGGGGGGACACCATGGGTACTACATCCGTGTGCAGGCACAGGTTTACACAGGAACTGGAGCCTTTGCCTGTTGTCTGTGGTCTCCTGCTCAGCAGCAGTGGGGTGATTGGTATCCACTAAAGAAACCAGAAGGACCTGGAACAGTTTAAAAAGCCTTTAATGGACTGAAAGACACCGGTAAAGGAAAATCTCATAGGAAAGATGCACTGCAGTCATTGATTGATTGCGTTCAGGAAATTCAGAGCTTTTCTTACTAAGAGCAAGTTCTTTTGCAGTAACGAATCCTCCTCTTTGTCCCAACAGCTCCCTCCTTCCCCCCAATTACAGGTACCTATATGGGGGTACAGGGACCCAGGGTGTTCTCCAGGGGGGCAGTGGGAGAAGCAACATGATTTGGGGATAATCTGTGCTGGACACCATGGGAGAGACTGCAGGCAGAGGGGGGACAGGGCCTGGCACCCACAAGTTGTTCTGTGGGGTGGAGGGGTTGGGGGAGCCCCTTCAGCTGTGACTGCAGCGGTCACCTCGTACCTGCTGCATGGCCGGGACCTCGCGCTGGTCCCCAGTCAGCGCTGTGGGCACGATGGGGATGCGAGGGTGGGCGAGTGGGGCATCGGCCACTGCAGTGACCTCCACTGCCAGCAATGGAAGGGCTCGGCCCCAGCGTGCAGAGGACTCAGGTACAAACTGCAGGAACTGGAGCTTTTATTTCACCCCCTCCCCAGAGCCAGGCAATTCCAGGCTGTGGGAAACACGCGCCCAACGTGGCTCCACGTGCCCATCACGCCGCAGTCCCTCGGTCCCTGTCTCTGACCTCCCCCCTTGCTTCCAACAGGGCCGTGAGTTCCCACTACCCCCCTTCAGCTCAGCCCCCCTGGGTGCCATCACCCCCCAGGCACTGGGGTTTCCATCACTGGAAGTTTGTGCGCTTTATTTAACATCAAGCCCTCTCTCTTTGGATACAGAATCCCAAGTTACTCAGCTGCAAGCAGAGCAGAAGTGGAACAGTGAGTATCTCATATATATATATATATAGATCTATAGATATAATCTCTGTCTATATCTTTACCTTGAAAATTAGAATGTGAATGTTACAAAACCCACTGAATTGCCAAACTGCCAACCAAAAGTAGAAAAAAAGAATGGTTAAAGGAATCCCATGGCTATATCCTGATGTAGAAAACGCTGTACATCCCCTCCCGCAGGCGGTACCCAGCACTAGGACTATGGCTGCTTGGTTTTCCTTATAGCACAGACTGGGGCAGTGTTGGGGGGGGGGGGGGGGCGGGGCCAAACAAACCTCCTGGCCTGGGGCTGGTTTTATACTGGTTTAGCAAAGCAGTGTCCGTAGTCAACATAAAAATGACCTGAGAAATGGTACATACCTCCAGACAGTTCATTGGAATTCATATGTACAAAGTAGAAAGAAGTGATGCTCTGTGCACACACACGACACGACGCGGGGCTCGGCGCCCGCGGCAGCCACAAGCTCAGCCAGACACATTACATTTCTCAGATTAGTTCTTTGCATTGTGTATTAATTGTACCAGTGCAATAACATTGTCAAAAAGGAGGAGCTGCTCCGGGGCGGCCCGGGGCCTGGCGCAGCCTCAGAAAAGGGTGGTTTAAACTTGTTTTAAAGCGAGGTACACATTAAGCAGAGCTCTGTGTTAGGGGGATGGCAGCGGAAGGCATGCGCGGCTCAGCCTCCTCCTCCACGGCTTTGTCCTCGGGGTCCAGCTGCTCACCGCCTTTGATGCTGTCCTGGAGCTGCTGGCGCCGCTGCACCTCGGCTTTAAGGTTCTCCAAGTCTTTTTGGCTGAGGGGAAAGCAGGGAGGGTGCAAACGTTAGCGCTGGGGATGGGGTGAACACAGGCACCGCTCCGGCCCCAGCCCAGGGCTCGAGGCGCAGCAGCACCCGCGCACGGTGCTTGGTCTGTCCTGGGGCTCTGCCATCGGTGGCCACCCAGGGCAGAGGCCGTGAGGTTTGGTCCTGCCTGGGTGCAGGCACCGCTCTGGGCAGTGGTTCCCATCAGTGATTATCTATAGCCATGGACTGGTCTCAGCTCAGCTTTGTGCACCCCCTCCCCAAGCAATTGTTCAACTAAGAGATAATTTACCATAAAATGAAGCACTCTTCATTTTATTATCAAAATGACAATAAAAGTCCCAAAGGTGACGCTAATGACACAGGGCTGCTGTTGGGATCTCAGCTGATGCTCTTTGCAAACAAACCCCATGGAGCTGGGGCAGGGACACCTCTGAGCTGCACCTACACAGCACCACCCTGCCAAGCAGCCTTGGCTGTGCCTCACAGGGACTCTTAATGCAGAGGGAAGTGTTGGGTTGACGCTAGCTCAGGAACACAGATAAGACAAAGCCTTGGTTCCTAAAGATCAGCACCCAGAGGACCTGCCCTACCTTAGTGGAATGAAGAGAATGCCGTTGATAATGTTGAGCTGCTCCAGGACACTGGCCATGCTGGGAGCTGTGAACTGCAGCACGAGAGAAAACCCTGTTAGAGGTCAAAACCCAGGCAGGAGAACTCGGAGCTCCTGAGCAAACCCAGGCCCCATTTACCAACAGCTTAGAAACCCTTGGGGCTCATAGGATACCCCAATGGGAGCAGCTGGGGCTGGCCCAAGGGGGCTGCTCCCTTCCTGCTCCATGTGCCGTGAGGTGAGGCAGGCTCCCCACCCCACATCCCATCCCATCCCATCACACCGCCCTTGGAAGCGGATCAAAGCACCCGGGAAAGATGACAGCATTCTCTCAGATGAGGAAACCAAAGTACTGTGGATTGAGCAACCTGCGCCTGCAGCCGGTGCGTCAGCACGGGGCAGGTCTGGGTGCTCCGGGCTCCCACAGCGTGAGCTGAGCTCCCTGGGTGCTCTGCACCCACACAGCTCAGCCGGAGCAAGAGCCAGACCCACAGAGGGGACAACCGCTGAGTCCACAGCGGTGATGCTGCGCTACATCTGCCTGAGCATCTACAGCGACCTCCTGCCCGTGACGGGGCTGCCCCAGCCACTGCCCCCCCTCGCAGTCCTTCAGGAGCAGCTCAACCCAAATCTGTCATCAGCGAAGTGCTCTCGAGCGCTCTCGCTGCGCAGAGGTTACCTTAAGAGGCATGATGTTGGCATTGGAGCCGTTCTTGTAGATCTCGTTCATTGTGCGTTGCAGAGCGACTGCTTGCTGAGTCAGGTATTTCAAGTACTCGGAGCTCTCTTTGGTCTTTTCATGGTGTTCTCCAAGCTGCGTGGCAAAGGGAAGAAGGCTCAACACAAATCCAGGCAGGCCCCAGACCAGGCTGCACTCCCTCAGTGTCCCCATCCCTAGAGGGTCGGTTCCCTGGCTCGGAGCTGCTCCCGCCTGCGGCTCTGGGGTGCAGAGGGGCTGCCAAGGGCAGGACTCAGCAGCACCCGCGCTCCTACCTGGTTCTTGTAGATGGTGTAACCTTCCTTCTCGTGCTGCAGGGCTGACCGGAACTCGGCCTTGCTCTCGTACACTCGGGCTACCAAGTGGTGGCTGAGGGAAGGAAAAGGGTTCAGAGGTGCCTTCATGAAGAGGAAACAATCCTGCACCGCAGCGAGCGCTGCCTGCACCCAGCGGGGTTTAGGTCTTAACACTGGTGTGAAAAGAGGCAGACGCAGCACCCTGGGAGTTGTTTCTGTTGGGATTAGGACACTGAACTGCTCTGGGTTGGGGTTTGCTGGAATGCTGAGAAGTGACCTTCAGAAATAAAGACTGAACTGGGGCCTTCTGCACCCTCGGGGCTCCATTTGTTAGCTGGAGAAGGGAGCAGCCCCCAGCCCTTCAGAAAGGGTCCCTTTGTTTCCTGGAAAGCAAACGTGTGAATTACTTGGTTATTCAGAGTCCATTAAAGATCCTCCAGCACAGGAGCATCCAGGAAGGCTGTTCCTGGATCACCTGGGCTCCCTCCAGCTGGGAGAGCTGCCCCGGCTTGGGCTCTGCTGCCTCAGTGTTTCTGGAATGAGAAAGGAAGAGTCCAGGTCTGGCAGCGTTACCCAGCGGGAGGGGATGAACCTCATCGTGCATCCCAGTGCCCCGGAGGGCAGGCAGGATGCTCGCTGCAGAATGCGGATCCATCAGGGCTGGAAAACACGTCAGGCTCTTGCGGGTGCTGAGTGAGATTTATTTCCAGCCTGGCACAGAGCAGATGGGCTGCAATGTGGTGGCACTGATTAGGAGAGAGCCACCGTGTGCTTGGTCCTGCACCCATTCGGGGGCAGTGCAGGCAGCTCCAAGAGCTGAGGGGCAGAGCAGACCCTGAAGGTGCTGAGTGCCCACAGCTCCCTTGGAGCCGCTCAGTGTTACAGTGAAGGGACAAAAGCAAATCACACGTTGCTCAAAGACAGCTCCCCAAGGGCCCGAACAGTTAAACACCAGTGTTCGTGTAGCAGGCAGCTCCCAGTGGAACTCCATGGGCCCCGCTTGCCCACCTTCACTTGCCACACGTGTCTTGAGAGACCCAAGGACCAGATTCTGGGGCAGCCTGCTGCAGTGCAGGGCCCACAGGTAACCTAAGAACAAGGGATCTCTGCCTTTCAGGACAACAAGCTTGGATGCTGCACCATGACCCCGAGAGCGCCCCGCGGTCCTGAGGAGCCTGGCAGCAGGGATGAGACTGAAGCTCTGATTTAGGGCCCAGCTGGACGAGCTCCCTCCCACATGAGCACAGCGAGCGTCCTCCACGCCTCACCTCAGTGCAACCTTCAAAGACTTGGAGCCGTGGTACTTGGAGCTGATGGCCAGCGCGTTCTCCAGGAAGCGGAGGGAGAGGTCGTACTCCATCACCCCGTGCAGCACCAGCCCAATGTTGTTCTGCACAGAGAGAGCACGGAGGCATTGAGGAAAGGGGAATTCAAACCACGCACTGACTGCTTCATAAACAGCAAGACCACTCGGGTGCTTCACAGCCAGCAAGTGAAGCCCCCAGCAGGGATCCCCATAGCACGTGGCAGGAAACCACTCTGTCTGTGGGAGCTTGGTCCAAACAAGCCAGACGAGAGCAAGAAGTTCAGGAACTTCCCCAAGGATGAGGTGCTCAAACCCACGGCTCCTGTGCCCCGGTGCTGCCCTGCCCTGCCCAGCTGAGGAGGCAAATGCCTTTTCTCCATCCTACTGGTCCCAACTGGCAGTAACCCAGGGAGGAGCCGTGCCTAAATGGCTATTTCAGACAGGCAGCACTATGGGCATTTTAAAGGCCAAGAGGCTTCTTGGAGATTAGAAACAAAGATTCCTGAGGGAACCTGAAGGCTCTCACAAGTGGTGACTTACATCCAAGAGTGCCATTTCTGGGTGATCCTCCCCGAATACCAGCAGCATGAGGTAGCGCGCGCGGTACAGCAGGTTCAGTGCCGTGGAGAGCTGGCTGTTTGCGAAGCAGTACAGAGCAAGGTGCATCTGCAACACAAGGAGGAACCAGCGTGAAGTTTCCATGTGCTCATCTCCTCCTCTGCCCCGTGCGCACAAACAGAGGGATGCTCCTTTATGGTTAAAGAGCATTTGAAGCACTCGACAAGCCCCGGTCTGGTTGATTCACAGCTCCATGAGCCACACAAGAGCCCAGTGCCAAGGAAGCTGCTCAAGTGTTTCACTGCAGTTTCTCCTATGCACCTCATGGGGTATTTCAGAATCAGCCTGCATGTGTGGGATACCCTCGCTGTGCTGTCGGGGGCTCTTTCTCTCTCTGTGACACAACCCAGGGCAAAGCCCGCAGAACTGATGAATGCAGAGCATTCAGCAGATAAAACCCCCAAATCCCAACCTCAGCGGGCCCAGCGGCCCACAGGGAACCAACACTGGGGTGTCTGCTTCACAGGGCTGTGGGATGCAGAACTGAAGGTGAAAGGGGAGGATTCGGGGAGGCCAGGGCCGAGGGGGGTGGCAGAACTGCCGCTGTTCCCTGGCTGCAGACAGGGTTTGAGGCTCCAGGAGGTGCTGCTGCTCCCCCCGCAGCCTGTACTCACGTATTCCTGGATCGTGTTGGGGTGTTCGATGCCCAGGACCCTCTCGCTCATCAGCACCGCTTTCTGCTGGTTACTTAAGGCCTGGACAGAACACAAGCCCCAAGAGCAAGTCACAGAGAGCCGGGCACCGCAGCAAAGAGGGGGAAGGAACGGGAGGAGTGAACGGGCCCTATCCCAGCCCTTGCTTACCTCTGAATAATCTCCCATGATATAGTTGAGACGAGCCAGCAGCCTCAGGCAGGCACAGATTTCTACATGCATAGCACCATACACATTGTTGAACAGGTTTAAGGCTTCGTTGATGAGCTCACAGCCCTCCTTCAGGAAACCTGGAAGAGGTGATGTTCACATGTATGTATGTTAAATAACCCTGCACCACTGGAGCAGCGTGTGCCTGTGAAGTGAGAACTGTTCCTGGACGCAGCCACAGGTCACTGCCTTGTGTAAAGGCAAGACCCAGGAGGAGGACGTTGCTGCCTTCTACACTGGCAGAGGGCAGCGGGCCCTGCTCTGCCCTCAGCAGCAGTCGCATCAAGAGGCAGGGCCCTGTTGGGTCTGTACCTTGCTGAACCTTTGCTTGCCCGCTCTGGAAGAAGTGGAAAGCATCTGAGGCTTTGGGGTTCACGTGCTTCACTACAGGGAAGATGTTGAGAATGTCCTCTTCTGTGAAGGTGGGCTTGTGCCTGTTGTCAAAGTTGTACTCCTTCAGCAGGATCTGGAGGAACCGAACAGGTCACCGTCACCACCTTCATAGGTACTTGGCAAGAAGAGAGGGGAAAACCTCCCTAGGTTCTGCGTGTGGATTCAGTCAAACACCTCCTGCATCGCCCGGGGATGGAGTTTGGAAAGACACCGTGTGTAGGTGTTCACCACGTCTGTGGTGAAATCACACCACGGTGCAAGGCTGTCAGAGCCCCAACAGAACCCCATGCAGCCAAGCACTGCACCCACCGAGGGGCAGGAAGGCAGCGCTGTGGGGAAGGAAACCCCTGTATTCAAGGACAACCCCAAGTCCTGCTCTGCTCAGAGCTGCTTCTCTTTGGATGGGGAGCACACGAGTGCATGAACTCGAGATGAGAGCTTGGTTTGTCAGGCAGAGCAAGCTACAGGGTTAGATATCTCTTTCCCCAGGGCTGTGTTCCAACACCAGCACCGCAAGGTGGACAGGCTGTCCCCTGCAAAGCAGCCTGCAATTACTCCTCCTGTCTCTGCGTACAGAACAGGATGGGGAAGGGAGGGAAGCCGTGGATCTTACCTGGACTCCAGTTTTGAGGGAGATTTCCCGAAGCAGGGTGATTTTCTGCAGGTTATACACCTCAGCGGCCTGGTCAGCATTCTCACTGCAAAAAGCAGAGGCTTGAGCCCTCAGGCAAGTTTCTGCTCAAAGGGCATCCCTCCACTGCGGTGCATCTGAAGCACAGGTCCCTGTACCACTGGGTGCTAACTGAAAGCAATGACTGACATTACAGGGGTTGCTACTGGTCTGTTAAAGCTCACAGAGCTGCACAACAGTAGCAAAGCCCCACTCCTTCAGTTTCTTGCCTTCTGCTCCCCTCTGCACTGCTAAGGAGAGGTTTCCTTCCTCCTCTGGTTTTCCTACCTGCCTTTGCCTCGCAGGTTTAATCTCATTTCACATTTCAGTTACACTTCCCCTGCTGCTCTTTCTTGCCCTTCTAAGGCTGTAAAACCCTCGAGAGCACAAGTTTATATTCAAACAGAAAACGAGTCCAAAGGCAGGGCCTGCTGCAGACCAAGAAGAGCAGCAGGCACCTGGTGAGAGTCCAGGCACAAGCAGTTTGCTCTGCTTACCATTCCAGACTAAAGTCAAAGTAGTTCTTTGCTTCTGAACAGATGTTCTTCCAAAGCTCCTGAGGGGTCATGCTGGCCCAGGCGGTGTTATCAGCATTCCCAAGGTTCCTGTTTTTCCTTTTCTTGTTCTTTTTCTTGGAGACCAGCTCATCAGCTGGGAGATGGGCGATGGGATTCGGGAAGGAGCTTAGAAAGCAGTTGAGGAAGTGGCTGATGGCAGCTGATAACCCCGACAGCTCCACGCCCTGCAGAGACACCAGAATCAGCCAGGGAAGATACCTGCCCTCATCATACAGGCACTGCTCTGCCTTGAGCCTCACACAAATCCAGTCCTAACAGCATCAGGAAAACCTCACAGGAAAGAGAAGAAAACATTTGCGAATGGAACTAGCTGAGAGCGACAGAGATGTAGCACAGAAGCACGTCTGCACACACACAAACACAGAGTTCTGTTCCAGGCTGCTACCCAGGACAGAGAAACTCGAAAGCATAAAGAGGATTCTGATGCTGGACTGAAGCCAGGGGCCTCGCTATGCTCTGTACAGACAGCTCTAGGGATGCACTGCTGTTCATGCAATCAACAAAGCTGCTCAGAAGGGCAGAAGCAACCCTGTTTGAGAGGACAAGGTATTACAGGAAAACAAGCTGTGATTTCACTTTTAAAAGCCTTCCCCCAATTCTCACTCATTATGAGGAGGGAAAGCATGAATGATTGCTCTCTGGGAAAGCTCCCTTCAAGTGGGAACTTGTTTTCCCTTCACGCAGGCCTGTACCTATTTTAGCACTAATGAGATTGTACTTCCCGTTGCTAAGCAACCCCCGAGCTGCCTAATGAGGGAAGAGGCTGGAGCAGCTCTATTTGTGGAAGAAGCCCTGGGGAGGACACAGGAGGCAAGAGGTGAGGCTGCAGGTCATACCTGGAGGTACGTCTTGAAGATGTGTTTGGCCGATCGCGTGATCAATTCACTGATTCCTATTTTCTACCCAAAGGAATAAAGAACAGAGACTGGGAGTCAGTTGGCAATGGCAAAGAAGAACGCACTTTGCTTCTCAAGGGGGCTCTGTGAAGGTCCACAGGACACGTTCTGCAGACCCTGCCCTGCAGCACAGAGCTGGTTTATATGTGACAACACTCCTGGAGCCGGCAGAGCCCCAGCACATCTGTGCACGGTGACCACAAGCTCCAATGGAGCTCTCCCAGCATCAGCCCTCCTGCTCACACTTTCCAGCTTGATCCTAAGACCAGACGGATTGTAGAGGCTTAAAAAATGCACAGCTTAAACCCCAGCTCTGTGTTACCTGCTACTGTGCTTGGGAACCCCTGAAGCACTCCTATATCCCAAAGGACACTCAAACTCCCCAACATTATGAAAGCCATTAAGGATCTGGGAGCAGAACTCCCCATCCACCACTTCCAGGTCCTTCTCCCTCCTCCTCCTCTGTTTGTGAAGCTGTTTATTGTCACACAGAGAAAGCAATCTGGAATCCAGACAGGGCACGCTGTGCCAGAGGGGGTTCTAACCCACAGCCCGGAGTCAGGCCTGGTGCTTACATAGATGTGATCCAGCTGAGCACGGCCAGGGGTCTTGGTGATGAAGCTGATCACCTTGCCCAGGTAACGCATGTTGATGCCCCTCTGGTGCATGGCCTCTGCGAGGGTGGCCCCGTCCATGGGGAGCACCGTGTGATCCAGGCAGTCTTTGACCTGGGGGTACAGACAAACTCTGGTTACTGGCACAACCATGAAGGAAGGAATCCCAATTCTAAACCCCTTTTTAAGGAGTTACCTGACTGGGAGGGGGAAGGCGTTGTCTGACACAGAACTTCCAGGAATGGCATTTGAGTTACAAGCACAGCAAGAACTGGCAAGTACAGAGCCCTGAGTAGCCAGAGCCCAGCTGCTGAGTGCTCCCAGCCTTGGGCCACGGGCTCCATGGCTGCTTTACCCCAAGTGGATAAATTCAGCTTGGGGAGACTGCTCAGAGGCTCTTCTCAGCACCTCTGCTGCTCTGGCCCTGCTGCTCGGGGCCTTGGTATGGCTATTTAAGCAATGCTTGTGGAACCAGCAGCCTAACCCTTCTTTAAGGGCCTCACAGGCACTAACTAAAACCATTTCTAACTAGAAGGTGTCACGGGCTGTGCACACTCAGCTGATAAGGGGACACGGCCCTTGCATTTGAAGTTGTGTGGCAGTGCTGATAAACAGTCACTTCATTCACATCATGGAGTAACACCAGTTACTCGCTGATACACGGAGTATGAGGAGTGCCTGCTTACACCAGCTGGTCTGTAACATGTCCTCGCAGCTGCTTGTGCAGCGTTTTGGGTTTATACCCTCCTGTATCAGCTCTCCTGTAAAACACCACTGGCCAAACCCTATTCTGATTCACTCCCCCTCCTTCTTCACTTAAAGGCTGAGCAGCTGCTCTTAAAGGTTATGCTGACTACAAAACTGGTGGATTTAGAGTTCACAAGAAACTCTCCAGCAAGGAAAATCCCCTCCTACGTAAGGCCAAAACCTCCTGCACCTCCTGGAGTGATCATCACTTCTGCCCTCCCAGTCAGAGCTGCAACACCCATTAGGAGGCAATTTAGAGGGCGTCCCGAGAAGGAAAAGCCGGCAGTTCCTATCTAGCCAGGTGCATAGGTAAGCATCCAAAATGCTTAGATTCACAGAATGAGGCTTTTACAACAGATATTAATAAGAACAATTTCCTGGTTCACTCCAAATTATTAGTCACCAATTGAGTCACAATCAGGGTCGGGTAACACAATAAGCTGTGCAGGATGCCCAGGGCTAGGGAGGGTGACTTTGTTGTCCCAAACTCTTAGCAATAGCTGGTAATTGCCAGGGCCAAAAATTCTTTGTTGGCCCGAGGTGGGGAAATCGTGCCATGGTGTCAGTCAGGACATGGAAAACCCCTCTCCTGCCTGCCCTGGCCACCAGGCTCCACCACTGGAGCCAGAACTCAGCCTTGGCTTGGGAGGTGAAGGGGGGAACCAGTGTGTGAGTGCTGCTCAGAGCAGCCAGGCTTGAGGCAAGCTCTCAGAGGGGACACGACTGCAGGCCCTCAGTTCCTTACCAAACCTGGGATCTGGCACGACAGCAAGAAGGCAGCAGCATCCTTCAGCAGCTGCTTCTGATCCTGCACCTCCTCTTTGCTGGACTCCGGGAAGCGAACACCTGGGAGAGAAAAAGAGAAAACACATCAACTCAAAGGGGAAATGAGTCCCATACAGAAGTGTACAACAAGAGGAGGTGTAGAGTTGTGATTCTGTTGCCCCAGAATTAAAGATACTTCTTCAAACACTCATCTACTCTACAACATGTTCGGATGGAAAGAGCATCGGCTGCTCTGCTCAGTTCTGCTCAGTGGCTGTTCTGCTCTTGCCACTCATTCTTCATTAACACAGCTTTTACACGTTCAAATTCTGCTCTTTATTTGGCCCATTCTACCTATGGCAAAGTGCTGTGAGCAGCTCAAGTGCGGAAGAGTCAGCTGGCTAGACTGGAGTGGGAATGTTTTAGCAGATGGGCCAGCAAATACCGCAAGTGCTCAAACTGAGCTAGAAACTGAGCCTTTTGCTCTTGCACACCAAAATTAAAAGTTTAAGTTCCAGCTGCAAAGCCAGTGCTAAAGCACTGACCTTTACCAGCCTTAGAAGGTGCTTCGGCTTTTCAGTACTCATACTCCTTCCGACACATTTATCCCAAGCTAAATTCAACTATGTATGACCCTTCCCCTGTGATCTGCATGTGCACAGCCTTGGTATTCACCCCCCTAAACACTGTGGGAGCTTCTTCTGTATTTCCAAATGACAAATGCTGATTCCAGCCATGGAAAGCTACAAATGGTGCCTATGACTGACGCATGGATTCGCAAGGGCACTGTGACCTGCTTACTGTGATGCTACTATAGCAAACCCTGCCCTTCGCTGAGGCTCCAACATCAGTCATTCAGCCACAACTGTTGTTTTTTATGTAGCTACATTAGGATCAAATCTAATTTCCTTCCCTCCCTCTGCTGCTTTTCATGTGGTCCAGCAGCTGGGATGCTGGAGAATGGCAGGAACATTCCTTGGCAGCAACCTGCAGACCTCCCCAGTGCAGCGGTGGGAGACAGCTCACCGCCTGCATCTGGGACTCAGAGCACTGCAATCAATTACTCCTTGCTCTCTCCTGTATCTTTCTGCTTCACCACGTTGCTAGCCAAAAGCCAGCAATATTCTTGGCTGAGGAACACAGTTTTTGCCTGGCTGCAGCAGTGCTCTGAAGAAGGACGAACACCAGCTCTTGTACACATACCTGGTGAGAAAATATCTGGGTTGAACCGAATGTCAAATGATGTGTCACTAATGGAGCCCACAGCCTTGCAAGCGTTCCGAATCACTTCTCGGCTCTTGGGATCCACTGGAGCAGGAAGAAAAGCAGAATACAACAGGACACACATGGGTTTCAGGAAATGAGAAGCCTAGCTCATCAGTTCAAAGGTTTGTAACTAAAAGCAGCAGCAATCCATTCCAAAAACCACTGCAGGACATCTGGAAAGGAGGATGGCTGCAAAATACAAGAAGTCTGACCAAGATGGCCCAGAAAACCCACGGAGCTCGGATTGCTCCGAAATCCAAGCCTGGGATTCCCACAGGTGCCTGTACAGTGAACAGTTCCCAGCCTGGCCACCACTGGCTCAAGGCTCTAATGGCCCAGCCCTGGCCACCAGCCCCATAGGCCAGCTTGCCAGCCAGCTCTCACTCCTGCAGCAGGGCTGATGGGCTTGCTGCATCCAGAGACCCTCACCCACCCAGCCCCCAGGGCGATTCATCCACCGGTGTGCAAACAGCTCTATGCAAACAGCAAACACAACGTGATGGAAGCTGCCAGTGCTCCTGTTTAACAACAAACCATCACCCCCAGTCCAGCACAGCTCCCACCAGTTACACAGCCACCCACCAGGGCAGGAGGCCTGGGCTGCTGCGGGTGAAATACCTGCTCCATCATCCGATGCAATGGTCTCAGCAAGCTCTTTCACCTGATCAAGTCCAGTCACGTTATCATCTATTTTACCGTCCTCTGACTCAGCCTTCTCGCTGTCTGCACTTCCATTCTCTGGAGAGGCACCATTTTCCAGTGTACTCGAGCTCTCCTGCTTGTTGGCCTTCTGCTGCATCAGCTGCAGTGCAGCCAGCTTCATGAATAACAGATACCTACGGCGAAGGGAAAGAGGAATTCAGCACAGAGGCGTCCCTGCCCATGGCAGGGGTTGGAACTGGGTGGTCTCATGGTCCTTTCCAACCCAAACCATGCTGGGATTCTACGATCACCACTGCTCTGCAAGGAAAAACCTCACAGAGGTAGCACTACAGACCACAGTTTCACAGAGGGCAGGATGTGCACCCTCCTCCAGGAGCGCACATTAGTTGATCAGAAGCAACAACAAAGTGGGTTTGCGTGACTCATGTCCTTGCAGTGCTCACAAATTGCTTTCACACGCAGCAGCACGGGCAGACTCTGCCAGGGGCACAGAGGAGGCAAACACCAACCAGCAGCAGCTCTGCCAGGACCTTAGCGAGAGGCCCGGCCCCTGCTCGCCGAGGAGCAGCACCCTACAGCCACGGTCCTGCAGGCTGCTGGTCTGGAAGCCATCCCAGAGCAGCAAAGCCTGCCTGCGGGCACAGGGGCAGGCGCTGGCTGCAGAACCGGCTGCTCAGCGGGCAGGGCTCCTCCTCAGCAACTGGAGGCTCCTCTCATCCTCCCAGCAAGCAGAGCACAGGCTCTGACCATCTGCGACAGCAGCCACCTGCAGCCCTCCGCATGGCAGCGGGAGCATCCACATCACCAGCACCAGGCTGCACCACGTGGCTAGGACTTGTGCTGCTCCCAGAGCTCCTGCACTGGGCAAGCCCAAACACCAGCACATCCCGCCGCCAACCTGCACATCTCCCGCCGCCAACCTGCACATCCCGCCGCCAACCTGCACATCTCCCACCGCCAACCTGCACATCCCACCGCCAACCTGCACATCCCACCGCCGCCAACCTGCACATCTCCCACCGCCAACCTGCACATCTCCCGCCGCCAACCTGCACATCTCCCGCCGCCAACCTGCACATCTCCCACCGCCAACCTGCACATCCCACCGCCAACCTGCACATCTCCCACCAGCCTGCACATCTCCCACCGCCAACCTGCACATCTCCCACCGCCAACCTGCACATCCCACCGCCAACCTGCACATCTCCCACCGCCAACCCGCACATCTCCCACCGCCAACCCGCACATCTCCCACCGCCAACCTGCACATCTCCCACCGCCAACCTGCACATCTCCCACCAGCCTGCACATCTCCCACCGCCAACCTGCACATCCCACCGCCAACCTGCACATCTCCCACCAACCTGCACATCTCCCACCGCCAACCTGCACATCTCCCACCGCCAACCTGCACATCTCCCACCGCCAACCTGCACATCTCCCACCACCAACCTGCACATCTCCCACCAACCTGCACATCCCACCGCCAACCTGCACATCTCCCACCGCCAACCTGCACATCTCCCACCGCCAACCTGCACATCTCCCACCAACCTGCACATCTCCCACCGCCAACCTGCACATCTCCCACCGCCAACCTCCACATCTCCCACCGCCAACCTGCACATCTCCCACCACCAACCTGCACATCTCCCACCGCCAACCTGCACATCTCCCACCGCCAACCCGCACATCTCCCACCGCCAACCCGCACATCTCCCACCGCCAACCCGCACATCTCCCACCAGCCTGCACATCTCCCACCGCCAACCTGCACATCCCACCGCCAACCTGCACATCTCCCACCAACCTGCACATCTCCCACCGCCAACCTGCACATCTCCCACCGCCAACCTGCACATCTCCCACCGCCAACCTGCACATCCCACCGCCAACCTGCACATCTCCAACTGCCAACCTGCACATCTCCCACCAACCTGCACATCTCCCACCGCCAACCTGCACATCCCACCGCCAACCTGCACATCTCCAACCGCCAACCTGCACATCCCACCACCAACCTGCACATCTCCCACCGCCAACCTGCACATCTCCCACCGCCAACCTGCACATCTCCCACCGCCAACCTGCACATCTCCCACCGCCAACCTGCACATCTCCCACCAACCTGCACATCTCCCACCAACCTGCACATCCCACCGCCAACCTGCACATCTCCCACCGCCAACCTGCACATCTCCCACCGCCAACCTGCACATCTCCCACCAGCCTGCACATCTCCCACCGCCAACCTGCACATCTCCCACCGCCAACCTGCACATCTCCCACCAACCTGCACATCTCCCACCGCCAACCTGCACATCTCCCACCAACCTGCACATCTCCCACCGCCAACCTGCACATCTCCCACCAGCCTGCACATCTCCCACCGCCAACCTGCACATCTCCCACCGCCAACCTCCACATCTCCCACCACCAACCTGCACATCTCCCACCAACCTGCACATCTCCCACCGCCAACCTGCACATCTCCCACCGCCAACCTGCACATCTCCCACCGCCAACCTGCACATCTCCCACCGCCAACCTGCACATCTCCCACCAACCTGCACATCTCCCACCGCCAACCCGCACATCCCACCGCCAACCCGCACATCCCACCGCCAACCTGCACATCTCCCACCAACCTGCACATCTCCCACCGCCAACCTCCACATCTCCCACCGCCAACCTGCACATCTCCCACCGCCAACCTGCACATCTCCCACCAACCTGCACATCTCCCACCGCCAACCCGCACATCCCACCGCCAACCTGCACATCTCCCACCAACCTGCACATCCCACCACCAACCTGCACATCTCCCACCGCCAACCTGCACACCTCCCACCGCCAACCTGCACACCTCCCACCGCCAACCTGCACACCTCCCACCGCCAACCTGCACACCTCCCACCGCCAACCTGCACACCTCCCACCGCCAACCTGCACACCTCCCACCGCCAACCTGCACACCTCCCACCGCCAACCTGCACATCCCACCGCCAACCTGCACATCTCCCACCGCCAACCTGCACATCTCCCACCGCCAACCTGCACATCTCCCACCAACCTGCACATCCCACCACCAACCTGCACATCCCACCACCAAACTGCACCCAGCAGCTCCCATTGGTAATGGGAGGTAATAAAGGTAGCATTCCAGACACCTGGAGAGCCTTAGAAGGAAGAATAAATCATTCTCATTCCCTAGCCATCAGGGTATCTGCAGGGAAAGAAGAGCGTCTGGATGTCTGGACAGGAAACAAGAACAGATCTGAAGACTCAGAACTGCCTTTCCCCAGCTCCCTGCAGCCCTGGCAGAACCCTGCTGTTTCCAGCTCATTCATTAAGTTTCTATAATTGCACATGCGTGGCCAAGCAATGGGGAGATCAGCTGCCCGCTTCTGGGAGCTCTGCTGTGATGTCCCTGGGACAATGCAGCGAGGTCCTGACCTGCACCCTTACCACTGCAAGGGGAGGAAGGGGGAGCTCAGCTCACCTGTGTTCTACAAAGGCATCAACAAGCTCTTGCCGGAGACAGCAAAGTTTGTGTCTGTGCTGCTTGGGGAACCCCATTTTCTTACATTCCTCTGGCATCTCCTCCCCTTCAACAGGCAGGAAGTTTAGATCTGGAGGGAAAGTGCGGAGCAGGTCCAGGATGTAGTGACGCCCATCATTGCCAATAATGCCTTTGCACTCCACTGAGGAGCACAGCTCCACCTCCTCATTCTTGTCGTTGAGGACTTTGTGCTTCTGGATCTTAAGTGGCCTGCTGGTCTTCTCCAGCAGCTCCAGGTACTTGGGGTGTGAAACAACGGTCTTGCCGAAGTCTATTGACCCATAGATTACACTCTGTTCCTGCTCCCGTTCCAAGATGCCAGGAATGATAGACTGAGCTGTCACCCTGTAACCTCTGTAATCCACCACTACAGTCCCCAGCGTGTACAGCCCTTCTACATCCACAGCATTATAGGTCCGCACACCATTGAGATCATTGGTAGGAGCTACGTAAGCAGCAACATCTCCACCAAAGTCCTTGTAGTGGTCACGGACATCAAAGCCCAGGCTGAAGAAAATGTTGTTCCAGATGAACATCTGCATCTTGGTCTCTTCACTGGGGTTGATGGCCATGACATTGCCATCAATGACAGCCATAGCACCTCTTGTTGCTGCTGCAGTGAAGTCGCTGTGAACCTGCAGGCAGGTGGAGAGAAGACTGGGTCAGGAAGGGCTCCCACCCTCCCAGCACCTTGCTCCCAAAACTCCCAGCAGATTTCTCCTTCACTCCTCCTGACAGCCTTCCAGCAGGCAAGGCAGCTGGCTTCTGCTTCTGTGAGCCTGGCTGATGGCTTGGACACAAGCTCCAGGAGGCAGAAGCCCAGGATCAGCGGGGCTCAGACTCATTAGCAACCTGCAGAGGAGGGCTTAGGTGTAAATGTCACCATCCCTCCACCCTGGAAGGAGCACTGCATCAGGCAGAAGAGCAGAGGCTGCCTCAGGCTCAGCAGGCAGGCACAGGGTCACGGAGCACTGTTCTGCCGCGCAGGGCTGGGAGCAGATGGCAGGCACAAGGCCCTTAGCTAACGAACAGGGACCCTCCTCTGGCAGTTTGCAATGGGTGGCCCAGGTGAAGGGCCCAGATGGGCAGCAGAGAAAGGGCAGATGTGAGGAGCTGCCCGAACAGCCCGGAGTTACCTTGAAGATGGCTCGCTCTCTGAGCAGCCTCTCGGGCAGGTTCTTGCGCGGCAGCTCCCGCGTGGTCTGCAGCTCCTCGTTCCAGTCTCTGGTCTGAAAGAGTCAAAGCCTTGTGGGAAGCAATGCACTGAGTAGGAAGGGGCTGGCAAGACAGCATTCCTGCTTTACGAGGCATTTAGTGACAGAAGGCAGGGGAAGGGGCAGGAATTGAGGCTGCATGGAGCTCAGAGGAAGTGAATTAGCGGCAGGAATGAACACTCCTTGGGAGTGGACTTTATCCAGCAGCACTGCCCCAGCTTATGCAGTGCAACTTCTCTGAAGTAGCAGCTTGCTAAGCTCTGGAGGAGGCCTGTGCAGGTTTCACTGATGTGGTCACGCTGCAGGCAGACAGCCTCTGTCACAGGCCTGCACTGCCCACAGCCTGCAACATCTCATGCTATAAAGCTGCACCTGAAGCGTTTGGAACGGTTTGCTCAGAGAGCCAAGAGCTGTCCCAGGCCTGAGCCATGAGGAGTGCTCTGCCTTCTGCACAGCGGTGCTCGGAGCAAGGACATGGGATTTAGAAACACCCCAGCAGAAGCTGCTCCTCTCAGACCTTTCCATGCACAGGGAGCTGCAGCCTGAGCAGCACAGCCCCTGTGGCCAAGGGACTGTCAGGAGCAAGGACTCCTGCAAGTCATCCCTCATGAGCAAAACCTTCCACAAACACCAGAGGCCAACTTGTTACCAGTTAACCGGCTCCCAGCGCAGCAAAACTCTTGCCAGTGTTCTGAGGCAAAGCAAGGCCAGTACCTGTCCAGGTATGTGCTCTTCATAGCCCAGTCTAGAGGTGTAAGCATCTTCTGCCCGGACACAGTCCATGGCGTGTTCCGCTTGCGGAGCCGTCCAGCTGTACACTTGGAAAGGAGTGGCTATCCTCTCGAAAGGGTGTCTCTGAACCCTGCATTGGGAGTGAAACAATCAGGCAGTTTCCAAAGCAAGACTGCTTTCTATTCTAAGAATTTTCCCTCCGCTTCTGACAAGCACCAGAGCAGAGCAGGCCTCAGGAGCAGCACAGTGACATCCATGAACCAGTACGATAACCCACGACTGACTGGCACGGGCAGCATCTCTCAACAGCAGCTGGAAAAGCACACTTCACCCAACAGCCCCTTGTGTCATCTGCCTGCTCCCAGCGGGTGACAGTCTCATCTGTATTTACTCTGACCCAAGAAGCAACACAGTATAATCACTCTTAAATGGGCAGATAGTCACAGTGGTGGCTGGAGGCCACTGCTAATTTCCAGCCCTTGCCTAGTGTCACTTTCATCTTCCTAATGAGCACAGCAGCAGCGCTCCTGAAAGCCACACAATGTGCCTGTCAGTCTGCACCCTGCCGAGCCCAGGCACTTCATTAAGTGGACTCTAAAGAATGACAGGCTTTTGCACAGGACCTGCTGTCCTGGAGCAGGATAAATGGTCCCTGCAGCAAGGACACGAGAGTAAAACAATAGCCCGCTGTTCTATTATTGTTGTTATTGCAGGAGCTAGAGGAAATTAGAGAAAATGAACATGCACAGACATGTTTCAAATAATTATTCTCTCCACCGTAAGCCTACGCAAAGCCCTTCTGTTGCTTTCCCTGGGATTTCATGCTTCAGCCTCTTTTCTGGATTCAGGGAGAAGCACCTACCGATGGAGATACAGGTACATCGGGTGCTGCTGACATTAGGTGTTTTGTGGTACCTCTGCAGACGTGCACATCCCAGCCACCCCCCTGCCATGTGAGCTCAGAGAAAGCAGGCACTGCAATCCTTGCTGTACCAGTGACATCAAGTACCACAGAGCTGAGCCTCCCCAAGCAACCTCACAACAGAGCACTCAAGGCAGCTAGAGGGGAAGAAGCACGGCTACCGTTTCTTCTGCAGAGCAGAGAAGTTTTTTTTGAAGGTAGGGCTGATCTGGTTAAGTAGTTCCACCAAGGAATGACTGAGAAAACTGGGGTTTGCAGGTTTGGGATTGAAGTTGTATGCAGTAGACCTGCAAGAGAGAACAGAAACAAAACCACAAGCCAATGTCATACCCGAGACTTCCCATACCCTAGGAATGTGGTACATGGCAGCCTTCCACACACGCACTGTATGAACCACGAGGTTCAAGAAGGGCTTATATTTTATAGCTGGGAAGGATTTCACATAGCTCCCAAACACACCAGAAGGGCTTTTGCTTCACAGAGACCCCAACAGTAACACACACCCACACTGAACAGTGGGTGCCCTCTCAAGATGCCTTGTCTCACAGCTCCAGGCCTGCCAGGTCCCCCCCTCCAGGTCACGTCCTGCCAAACTCTAAAAGGCCACTTGTTTCATGTTCACTGGGCCACTTGGTCTTGGGATCTGCACTCACGTGTGGGCCCTTGGACTCACTACTTTTAACACTTATTTTTACAGATCTGGGGGGAGCAATGGACTCCAAATTACTTCTTCCATGAGCCAGTTTAACATGAAGCACTTCCACTTCGTAATGAGACAAAAGGTACAAGCGTGCTTGATTTTTATCTTCTATATTTTAAGCTTGCCTTCTCTTCAGGCAGCTTTCTTCTGTACATTATAACCTTGTATTTCAAAACACAGGGTTACGGTTACCCAGGTGATTATCTGGATTGCAGGGTCAAAGCCACCCAAAGATGCTCCTGAGCTGGTGGTTGCTCAGGTACAGCAGGGATTCTGCTCTGAAGCTCTCTCCTGTCCATCTTCAACTCCTAGGTCCCTGTTACAGGCTATCGGGCTGGACAGACCCTGCACCTCCCTCAGCAGAGCTGCTCGAGCAGCCCCTCGCAGTCACTGCACTGAAATAAAACAAAGCCAGCCAAATCTGTGCCCAGCTCAGGAAGCTCTGACAGGCTGTGCTCTTGCTTGAGGGCACAGTGAGATAGCTGCAATGGTCAGGAAGGAATTCCCTTGACTCAAAACGCTCTGGTTAGCTGATGACATTAAGGGGTGTTTAAACTTTCCCTAAAGCACTGGGCATTAATCCACTAGAGAAATGGTACCAGGCACAAGTGAACTGCCCGATCCAGTGCAGCAGCTCCCCCAAACCATGTGAGCAGCGAATTAAACCGGGCTATTTTCCACAAAAAAAGAGAATAAAGCAGCAATTGCTTGTTTGTTTGTGGGCTCTTTTCCCACAAGGAGGAACCTGTTACTCACTGATTCAAGTAAAATCCCCGGGTGGACGCAGTGATGCTGACGTGCCGATCCTCCACCGTGATGACGTACAAGTACATGAGGTCCCCATGCATTTTCCGGTTACCGGGTGGTGGGTTCCAGCCACTCATTGTCAATACCTTTAGGCACTGTAAAGGCTACAGAAGAACACAACAGAAGCAACTCCTGTCAGCAGAAGTAATTCCCTTGAGTTAGAGCCACTCCATGTACGTGGCAGATTCCTTTCACCTGCTGCTCTCACACGGCTCCAGAACAAGAGCTCACAAACCCCCGGTCTTGGGAGCACAACCTTCCTCAAGCCATGTGCAGTCACTAATTGGCCTCAGTTTGACGCCTTGCACACTGTAAGACCAGTAAAAACAGCCACCCTGGGCCTTTGGGCTGCACAGGGCATGGATTTCTTGCTGTACTGGTTTTCAAATGGCAGCTTCTAAACCAGAATCCCAATGGGAGGGTATGGGAAAGCTGAGGGTCATTTGTAGCGTTCTGCACATCCAGTCTCCAGGTCTCTGCAGAGAAATGCTGCTCTCCCTTCCCTGCCACCCCTCCCATAAGACCGGCGCTTTACATTCTGCAGGTGTCCAGACTCCGTGTCCAGTGCCTTGCACACAAAGTCTTGGACTTTATTCTTTTGGCTAAGCAGTGCTATCCCAGCACTCATTAAGCATCAAGCAGAGCAAATCCCAAAGTCCACTTCAGTGCAGCTTCCCTGAACACGAGTTTGCTGCAAGGAACGTGTGGATAGCTGTTTGAATGACACAAGAGAACTCTACCTTCCAGTCTCTGTTCTGGGGCTGAAGGGCACACAAGGGTCTCTCTTTGCTACCTGGCAGGATATGCTCAGGAGGGGTGCAGTCAATTTGTTCCATTTCAGTACCTTTCTTCTTTCGTTTTCCACTGTCTAGAATGGACAAAGAAAGAAAGTGCTGAAAAGCACAGCATTGCCTTGGCCAGCAATTATTCATGGAGGAATGCAGAAGTGCTCCAACTGCTTCTCTGCACTCCGGAATGATGTGGGGCAGCCCACTGTGTTAACTAAGCAAAAGGAGTCGGGGCAATGCAAGCACTGACCACACCAGAGAAGCCTTTTTGCCCATACCTCCCAGGTCTCCTTCAGTGAAGACGCTCAGGAAGGACAGTGAATTACAGTCCACACCATTAAAGGCATCTGATGGGTCAAGACTCTTCAGAAGGTCCCGGATGTGACGCACGTGTATCCTGGCTTCTCGCACTGTGTATGGCTCTGATGAGGAAACAAACTGGAATGACACAGTCGCTCACTGCTTTGGCACAAGGTCTCCCAGAGGAGCCACGGGAAAGGTCTCCCAGGTGGCCAAACCCACTCCCGATGTAAAGCCTCCCTCACTCCCCCCTGCGAGCTGAAGGAACTTGCCTTCCACCACTTTGAGCAGCGAGCCCTCCTGCAGCCCCTCAATCGTCTTCAGCTCAGCGAAGTTATCGAGGACGTTGCCATCCAGCTGCAGAGAGAAGCACGTCCGATGGCAGGTGTCCTCGCGGTCCATCAGAACTTGGTGGATCTCCTGCACCATCTCTTGAGGAGACACCTCACGGAGGGAAGAACACAGTCACTCTCAATCCTCACCCGTGTTCCTGCCAAACTTTATCCCTCTGCTGCAGAATCAACCACCTCTTGCACACCTCCAGGCCTGCAAGGGCAGACCCTGGCTCTTCCTCCTGGGAAGATCACATCTGTCTCTGCAGGGAGGGAGGGTACTGCTACCTCTGGCAGGGCTGGTCACCCCAGCTCCATCCCACAGGCTCAGCGCCCAGAGGTGTAACAGCCTGGTGCTGTACCAAGCACACAGCATGGGACAGAGGTGGTTGAGAGGGCAGTGCAAGAACAGAAAGTGGTGGGGGAAAACAGGGGCTCTTCCCATATCCATCACACTGTGCATTTGTGGTGAGGTTTGAATGATGCACATGGAGAACAGATCATTTCCTGCTCTCAACCCAGTGTGGTACCTGCGGTGCAAGATACCTCCCTGGCTCATGCATGGGGGCTGCCGCCCTCCCTCCTGCTCTGCTCCAGCACCTCTGGCACTGCTCACAAGCTTGGACCAGGGTAGTTTACATAAGCTGCTGTAAACAACGTGGCCTGCTATTATTAGCCTATTAAAACTAACAGCCAAGGGGATTTAAAAGAGACAAAAGCTGAGCTGAGATACAGCAGTTTCACTGCACTCACTGCTGCTCTGGGTGAGATAACACTTCCTCCTGGATTTAGACTCCAGATGCCTCTCCTCAAAATTAGATACTTCATCCAAATTTTTTTGGTGAAGTATCAAGCTAAATCAGAGTATCAGTGAGGCACATCACCCAGCTGGTGAAGGAGGTACCTGCAGGGAAAAGGGCTCTATGGTGGGTGCACAGATCTTGACGGTAAATCCTGTGTCCTGTATGACAATGACCTCCTGGTCGTTCCCATCTTCTCCTGCGTCAGCCTCCTCGTGGCCATTCTGCCTGGCATCCTTCTCACCCTTGAGGCTCTCGTGCGGGCCACTGCCATTCATCAGTGCCATGCCAGACGGGTGCTCTGCGTGAGAAGAGAGGGATTTAGACAGGGTCAGAGCAGACGGATGGTCCTCTGCGAGGATGGAGAGGCTGGTTTGGACACCACCGCTGTCCCCTGGCCAACTCAAGCAAACCAGGGGTTAAAAGGCATCAAGCGTTTTATTCGGCACTTGGTGTTTACTAGACAGAGGCGTGCCAGGCCCTTCCCCTCACAGCACAATCAACATGCTCTCGCTCGCCCGCGGGGTTCGCATCTTCCACCATGCGGAGAGGGGAGGGAAGGAAAGCAGGAAGGCTGGGTCAGGGTACGACACATTCAGCTGTCTTAAGAAGCCTCTTAATTAAAAGAAATGGGTGTGTGGTGCTTTGCGGCCCGGAGGCAGCTGTAACCTCTGCACCAACATGTTACCCAGCTCCTAACATCCCTCCTGGTACGCTACTGCTCGGCCAGAAGGGAAGGGAGGGACCGGCGGTTGCATTGCTGAGCGGCGCGTCACGTGGAGCCAGGTTACTCCCCAGGCACACAAACAGCTCCCACGGCCCTGCCCGCATCGGGCCACCCTCTGCATTTCCAGAATACTTCCCAGAGATCCCGTGGTGCCAGGGCGAGGCTCTGCACAGGAGATCTCATTCCAGAGAAAGGTGACGCCACGTTGGACGCTCCTGCAGGCGCATCACAGGGACGGCAGCTCCGCTGCACCCGCCCCAAGTGGTTTGTTTTCTCTTCCAGTAAGGAGCAGGGTGTCAGAGGGCTGATAAGATCTAGGAAGCTGCCACCTCCTAGAGCAGCCTCCACCCACCAAAGCAGGCTGGGACCATGCTGCAGAGGATGGAGGCGCTGCCAGGGTAAGCTGGAACCATGGAAAGAGCTGATGATGAGAGCATTTGAGAGGGAAAAGATCCCTTTGTCCCCAGCCTGGGAGCAGCGCATCACTGACCCATGCACCCGAGCAGCAAAGGCTGGAGGGGAGTGGGCAGCACACCCCATAGGGGGTCTGCAGCACGGCTGTCCCATCCCAGCCACGCACACCCGGGCTCTGGACCCCAAGGTCACACGTGGGGGGTTCCACCCTGGTGCTCCTGGCACCCACTCACAAGCAGCGCAGATGGAGTGGGCTGGGGCTGTCGCCGGCAATGGGAACAGACTCTCCTCTTTCAGCTGCACCAGGTCAGGGCAGCTCAAAGCTGGGTGATGGCCCCGAGGCTGTTGAGCTGAAGCCCTCCAGCCAGCTCCATCTGGCAGGTCTCCTTCCTCCTCCTCACCACCAGCTGCGCTCCAGGGGAGATGGCAGCTCAGCCTCCGTCATTTATGGAGCACAGACTGGCGCTGCAGCTGCAAGACCTAAAGCTATCACCACCAGTTCTCACCCATCAGCCCCAACTGCTCTGGCAGCCCAGGAAAGTCATCCAGCCTCCACCACGTGCAGGACCAGGGATGGAAACACTGCATCCCCTCACACCTCTGGAGCGCAACACGAGGCTGCAGCAACAAGCCTTGCTCAAGTGTCCCCAGAGGGGCATTCTCCTGCTCCACACTATGACTGCCAACAGCAAACCCACTTCAGTCTGTCAAGGCTGAATTAGGACACAGTGAAAGCGCAAGAAGGAAGGAAAGCATTCCCATTCCAAAGGCAGCAGGTGGCAGAGCCACCTCCAGCAGCCTCTGCTGCCTTCAGCATCTCGGCAGCTGCTGCTCCTGTTCCCCGTCACTTCCCACATGTCCCCAACGTGAGCTGTTCATTTCTTTGACAGATGAAGCCACGGGCAAGCCAGACGAGAGGCCTGGCTCCAGCAAGCTGCGGTCATGCTAGAAAGGAGGAAGAAAAGCTCCACACTAAAGTGCCCCAAGAGCCGTGGTTTCAGAACAACCACACCATGCCCAGAGGGAACACAGGGCCACACGCCGGCCTGCCCGAGCACCGGGAGCAGGAGGGACAGCAGGAAAGCTCTTGCAGGAACACTGCAGCCCGGGCTACCAGCACAGGCTGCCCGGCCAGGCCACCGAGCCAGGCTCGGCCCTGCCCCTGCCCACCCAAGCAGGGCAGGATCACAAACTTGTGCTCCTGCTGTAGCAGCCAGAAAGGGGAGGCAGAATGTGGCTCCAAGGCAGGCTGCAGCACTGCTTTGCAGTCTGCTCTGCACCGCGCGTCAGGCACGCTCCTGACCCTGGTCATCGTGCTATACACGACCAAGGATGCTTTCCAACCCTCTGACTTATCAGCCCGAGCAACAAGGGTGCTGAAGCTACTCCCGTGCCACAGTGGTTGGCAGAATATTCCCAACAGGGACACTGACACCTTTGAGTAAATGTCATTTTGTTTTACATCTTTCTTCTAAGCAAGACCCATAGTGAAAAGTTACCACGAGGACCACGCTTCTGCCTGTCACTGCTGGGTGGTACCAGAACCCCAAACTACTGTTTCGGACATAAGGCTGTTGCTTGTCTGCAGAAACACAACACAGTCACACTTCCCATCCCTCTTTTCTTACTTGGGTGAAGGCTGGGCCAGTCCAGCTCTGCACTCTATGACAGAAGAGACATGTAGAGGCAACACCTTCATGTCTCCATATGCCAGCAGATGCAGTGCCAGCCAGCACTGTCTTTAGACACAGAAGTTCAGCCCGGATGAGACAGCCTGGCCGTCCTGCACGTTCACCCTCTGATGCAAGGCCAGCGGAGGCTTTCGGCAGGGCTCTTACGGATGGGTCTGTCTGGATGAGGTTTGTTTCAAGCCCAGCTGACAGGCGAGGTGCTGGAGTTCCTGCTGCCTCCTGACTCACCCCATGTGCTCTCCCGGCAGGAAGCAGCAGAGAGAGGCAAGGCATCAGTGCTCCATTCCAGCATGCTTGAGTGGCTTGGAGAGCAACAGGGACACCTGCAAGGCACCTGCCCACACCTCTCTGCTGTCACTGTGGTTCAAGCCCTACCCGGGCAGTAGCTACGTTCTACGTTAGCAGAACAAAGCGACAGGCCATGGAAGTCAGCCCAGTTCCTGGGAGCTCAGACAAGCAGGGAGATCGCCCCTGCAACGTCCCAGAACCAAGATGCAGCTTTGCGACCTCCAAAGGCTGTGACCTCCAGCCTCCCCCCTCATCCCAAGGGATGCAGGCGCATCCCAGCAAGGACCCTCCTTGGCTCGCACCCGCAAGCGCAGCTGAGGCTGCTGACCTCCGGCTTGTGCTGCCCGGCTGCCGCGCTGTGACACGCTGCTCACTGCTGCTCGGAGCACAGCGTGAGCAAACCTCAAGCACACACAGGATGAAAGCGTCAGGAGAACGGGCAAAGCCAAATGCTGGAGAGGGGAGGAGACAGCACAGACACCACCTCACCGGGAGGCACCGGCCCACACCACAGCTCGCAGCTGGTAGAGAGGATGAGCACAAGGATTAACCCTCACCCTTGCACCTGGATAGGGTGACACGCCAAGGTGAAGGCCCTGCTCTAATCATGCTTCCCATTTACAGTGATCCTGCACCTCAGGAACCCGACCGGTCAGGATCCCGATGCGGAAGGGTGCACACCTGAACCTGGGCACTGCTGGCTGCATACAGCATAGATCACAGGAAGCATTCATTAATAACTGATTAATGTTCAAACAGGTCTACACCAGGTCAGGCACTAATCCTTAGATTATCAGGTCAAAAGGACACAACACCATGGTACTGAGTTAGCCTGGTCTGGAGAGACTGCTCTGGAGATCAGTGCACCTCTGTGGTGCACATCTGGATGGGATATGTCACCGCCTTCCTCCTTTTCATTCTGCTGTGAAATTAAAGCATCACCTCATCTCCCCTCTCCTCCTCCTGCCCCATCCCACAGGCACACATAGCCACCCAACCCTGTTAGAGGCACACAGTGCTTTGGCTACACAGCACCATGCCACGGAGCACCTAGGAATGGGAGCTTCTTTTTCTTCCTCTTCTTCTTCTGCTGCAGCTGCTTGAGGGGCAGTGCCTGCGGGTCAGGGTCAGAGCCTGACCTGTCGCTGGGGCAGGCAGCAGGGTCCATCACTACAAAACCAGTACTTGCGTCCCGAGCCTTGGATGAGGGTTGTGCTGCCCGGCCCCCCCGGCGCGGTGTCCTTTGTGCCGGTGGGGTGCTCCCCATGCTCGCAGGCAGAGCAGCACCTCTGTGTCCCAGCACGCTGCCCAAGCCCCCTGAAGCTGTGTCCGAGCTCAAGGCTGCTCGTCCCTCACCGTGGCCCTGGCCGGCGGGACGTGCTCCAGGGGCCGCATCCCCCCCATCAGCTGCTGCCACGTGCTTCTCCTGGCGGCAGGATCTAGGGGCTAAGCTGCTGTCCTCAAGTTTCACGCAGCTCTGGCAGGCCTCAAGCAACTGAGCATGATCCAGCAGCCCCGGCGGCCCTTCCCCAAGGTCGGCTGGAAGGACAGCCACCGCACGGGATGCCTCTGCCTGCTGGAGCAGGCCGGCCACGGCTCTCCGAGAGCTCTTATCACACACCATCACTGCTCCTTCTTCACCCTTGGCTTCGGGCAGGTCTTGGATATACTGGGTGCACTTCGGGAGGCTTCCAGTCACCACCTCGCTGGGGATGATGTCTGGATAGAGCCCAGCACACGGGGCAGCTTCTGGCACGTCCGGGCCGGCGGCACAGCCCATGGGAGGCTTTGGTAAGAGCGGAGCCCTCTCATCGGCAGAGCTGGAGCTGTGTGTCTGGAAGATGAGGTCGGTGACTTGCCTGCAGCAGTTTGCAAAGAGGCCGTTCCCCATGGTCACGAGCAGCCCGGCTCACGCAGCACCGGGCGAGCAGAGCTCGGGTTGTTCACACACGCACGCTGAAGTCCCCGCGAGGCAAAGCTCCCACGCGGCAGCCGGGACCGTCTCCCAAGGAAGCTCCTTCCCGGCCCCAGCGTGGCAGGACACGGACGGGGCTGCAGCTGTGCCCTGCACACCCCAGCTCACGTCCCGCCAGGACCGGGCGCTGGGCTCGCTGCAGCCCCCATCCGCCGCTCACGCTGCCATGAGCTCCCCGAGCAGCTGGAGCTGCCCTGTCCCCGCCGCGCCAGCACAAAACCAGACGTGTCCCTCCCAGGTTCCTCGGGCACGCTCGCAGGGGGATGCCGCCCGGAGGGGGATATAAATAGCCGGATCTCGAGGGCTGCACCAGTGCAGCATGGGACCAGTGCTGGAGCGCTTCAGCGCTGCCAAACCTGCAAGCAAGTGCGATTCATTGAATTACAAGGCGAGGGCAGTTACTATGGCACGCCTGGGCCCAGGCACAGCCATCCATACTAAGCAGCCAAGCACAAAACAGGCAGGCACTGAACCAGGGACCGGTTTCCAGCCGAGCTCTCTGTCCTCCCAGCCTGCTCTGCCGTATCAGGCACCAACAAACCACAAAAGCACACGCAAACCCCCAGCACCGCTCCTCTCCCGCACTGCTTTAAGGAATCCTGGCAACCGAAGCAGGGATTATGGAGCTGGAGGTTTCTGCAGCACCCATGGAGGCTGCAGCGCAGGCCGCAGCATGCCCGCAGCGAGGCTGTGCCGCAGCCCGCTCCTCGGGCCCCCCGTGCACCAGCACATCCCATCCACACACTGCCCCAGCTCAGCCACCTGGGTCCCTTCAGCGGTCCCGGGTTCCTGGGACACAAGCGAGGAGCCGGATGCTCCAAGCACAGGATGGGATGTGAGTGCTGCCGCCTGGACCTGCCTGGGAGAGCCCTGTGCCTGCTCGCAGCACAAGCTTTGGCTTCCTTGGCAAGTCTTGGAGCGGTCAACACAGCTTCGTGGATGGGAAGGGCCGGGCTCTGCACTGAGCAGAGGGCAAACACAGCGCATCCCCAGCACAGATATACCCAAACCAGAACAAAGCCAAGACCACACAGCTCACACGAGCACTTGCTCCGGGCCAGCACCACGCACACGATCCCACCTCCAAAGGCAGCCCTGGGAAGGCTGAGAGCAGCCCCGGATTCTCCATGCCAGCAAGCCGCCTGCACGGAGAAAAGCAAGAGCAGGCTGAAAACCAGCCCGAAAGCAAACCCTGGCTGGCTTCTGCTGTCCTTTTAGAGAGCAATCAGAGAAGTCTCTCCCACCCCAACTCATTAGAGCTCCTGCCCCAGTAACCAAGGAGCCCAAGGCACCCCCCATGTGAGCGAGGGCCTTGGAGCCCTGAGACAAGACCTCCATTGGCCTCAGGAGCCAGCACCAACTTTCAGACCACATCAGCATCAGTAACTTGTGGCTTGCTGATGATGTTCGAAGGAGTTCAGATATCCTGATGAGGAGGACTCAAGCCAAAGCAAGTTCAGAGCAGACACAAAGGCCGGTGTCAGAACAGCAAATGCAAATTATGCTTTAGCTGAATAATAAAACACAAAAATAGTCTAACGAATGTAAGTAAATTGGTGGAATGAATAGGGATCAGCTCCAGAGAGGGCCCTGCTGGAAACGTTTCTGCAGGACAAGCTGGCAGGAGATGCTGTCCCCTCCACCTCCCCAGCGGAAACCACAGCTTCCCAGAGACCTCCAGCACCTGAGGTGCAACAAGCACTTCTTTTAATAAGGGCCCACGGTGAAGTTGGAGCTGCTCTACAGCCGTCATTAACTCAAATTGGCTGTAACCCACCTGTGGGTACACGAATAAGCACTGCATTTACGCTACAGCAGCTTTACCACACCGAGGACTGACTCGCACAGTGGGGCTGCAGCAGGCGGTGCTCTCCGGGGATGATAAGTGGGGAAGTTACTCATTCCCAGCTCTTGTGCATCCACAGTAAAATTTGGCTGGATAAACCTAAACAACTCGAGCCACATTCCAGCCTACTTAGAAGTTCGTGGCTTTTCTGTGCTCTATGGATAGCGGGACATTTGCATTGCAGCCATGCCCAACAGGGTCCCACAGCTGCTGCTCAGGCATTGCAAGCACTGAAATGCCTCATGCTTTGCATCTGGCACCCCAGGATACCCACACCGTCCCCGCCACATCTGGGAACTACATTTAAACCCATCTGTAAACCTTTGGAAACTTACTCCTGGATCTACATGGCTGGCTGACCCTGCTACAGCAAAGTGCAATTCAAACACCACCGAAATGGGGAGCAAAGACTAGGGCATAAGGCAAAGTGCAAAGATCAGCACCAACAAAACCAGCAACTGTTAGGAAAAGCACGTTTCTCGGATTTCAGGAGAGCCCATTTCAGAAGGTATCAGGAATTAGTCAATAATTCTCCAAGTATGTGTGTTTGATTCTGGCACATACCTTGGTTTCAAAAAGCCGCTGAGACAGAGCAAGCCCAGGACCATGAACTATCTGTTAGACCCTGCATGCAGCAGAACATCAGGCGTGCAGACAGAAGCACCACAGCTCCGCACTGTCACAGGGAGTCTCCAGCTTCACCCCATGCTATCACTGACACGTGTCACCACAACCACAGCGGCTCTAGAGAAAACTCCATGCAGCACAAGCCTGCAAAGACCAACTTCACTGCTACTGAGAGCCCTACAAAGGCATCAACACGGCTGAGAGCCCCAGAGGTGATGGCAGGGGGCTGTGGGCAGGCTCTGCAGGGAGATCCGATGGCTGTGATGTCCTCAGCAGCTCCCACTGCCTTCCTGCATCCTGCGGCACAGATGTGCCGATCAGCCCACAGCCTCCCACCCGTCAGCCCTGCGCCAGCCGCAGGGAAACAGGCTGGGCAGCTGCTCCCATGGCTCTGCGGGCTGGGAACCTCACCCATCCCACAGAGACCCCTCTGGCAGGGCCCACTCACAGGGCAGCCTGCATGGCACCACTTGCTAACAGGCAACATCCCGTTACCACCTCCAGTTTCCCCTAAAGCACAGCAGTGGGAGGTCAGCTAGCAGAGAGCCAGTGAAGGAGGGCTGGATTCAAGCTAATCCGACCTGCAGGAGCTCCAGGCAAGGAGGGCAAGAGTCACCATCCTGCAGCTTCACATCATTGGACAGTAACTAAAGAGAGAAGGAACCCAGATCCCTGCTCATCCCAGGCTCACTGATGTTGAAGAGGTGGAACACAACAGAAAGCTCAACTGGCAAACAAGTATGTGCAAACTCCAGCACATCAGCCACACTCTTGTGGGAGGTGAGAACCAAGCACTAACCCTTAGACAGCCTTGCTACTACTGGCAAGAAACAACCTGCTTCCAAAAAGGCACAGCCACTGCCATCATGGGAAGAGCTACACTCTGGTTTTCACCCTTTGCATCCCGTCCAAGCACAAGTGACTTTGGGAGGTAACATCATGCACTGGTGCTACTCCTCAGTCACAAATGAAAACCCCATGAACCTCAGGCCTCTCAGGCTTCTAGAAATAACCACTTTCTAGTACAGCCCATAGAGCACGATGCAGGAAAGCAAAGCGCGCGCTGGTGAGCTGCCAAGCTCAGTCACCTACAGACGACGAAGACAAACACGGGGCTCTGCGACACAGTGCTGGGTTCGGTGTGCACGAGGCAGTTCTGGGGGTGGATTACTGAGGTGCTCCTGACCTACTTACACTTCCAGCTGGGAAACCCAGGAGCAAGGCAGAGCAGCCGCGTCCAGCGGGAGCTCAGCTCCCATCCCACCGGCAGAACCGCCCTGGACACCGTCCCTGGGGTTCCCATCCCCCTCATGCACAGATGCTGTGTTATCACGCTCCCTTCCTCTCCTTAACCTTGGAGCAGCGATCAGATTTCTCTTGCACAACATTGCTCCAATTCTCCCCCCGAAGCCTGTTCCAGCTGCATATAAAAAACCCCGAGTGCCAGCAATTCAGCCCTTTCCAAAACACCAGCAAGCCTCCAAGGTCGCACCACAGACAGTGATAGCAGATCCCAAGATAAGGGATCAGCCTCCTGACCTTGGTACTAACACACAGCTACACTTGCCACCACAGCAGTTTTCCATAACCACCTGCATTCCCTGCTTTTCTAACACAAGACTTGCCTTAAGACATGGCTGCCTGGGAAGAGCAGGGATAGAGGCACCTAGTTATAAAAAGCAACTCTTTGGCCAAGGGAGGGTTGAAAAGCATTCTGTGGTAGCTCAAAGCCCAGCTCAACTTGCACGAGACAAACTTGTCTAAGGCAGTGACAACTGCAGGAACACAAGTAACCCAAGAAACACCGCACACAGTGGCCATCTCTTGCTCTCCTGCTAGCTAATAGAAAAGTAACTACACCCATAGCTGCCCCTGTCAGAAACCCTTTCAGGAAGTTCCTGTGCTTGTACTTCTAAATGAGGACAGCGTGGCCTCAACAGTTTTGACTGTCTTGGAGACAGGGAGCAGCAGGCATCAGCCCTCCCGCCTTTGGAGGTGAAGAAAACACCTCTATAAGTGGGCAAGCCCTGATGTCGGGCAGAGCAGCGAGGTGCATTTCCACGCTGACCACTGCCCTCAGACCAAGCAGGATGCCCACCAAGTGCACTGGAGCGGAGGCTGGTTTTCCCTGGCAGAAATCGAGGCCAGTACCCAGAGCCTGGACAACACAGCCAGGCTGCCCCCAGCCCCACTGCAGCACCTCCACCTGGGAGCCATGGGCCATGGCCCCGGGCTCCCAGACAAGACAAGAGCCTTGCTCCCGTCCTCCCCAGCCCCACGCGGTGCCCGAGCAATCCGCAGCGCTGATCCGGGGAGGATTTTTCCACCTCCAGCCGCCCCCTGCGAGCCAGCGTTTCACCACGTAACTCTTTAACCCAGCCGCTGGCACTGCCCCGCTTTAAGTCCCTCTGTGCAGGGGAGGGGGAGGCTTCAGCGCTCCCTACTCTTGAACCGCATCCAACCCGCTCCAGCACCGAGCCACCAATGAACTTTGCTTT